AAGGAGCTATATAGTTAAGTAAATATATATTTAGCAGCAACAAATAATTTGATGGAGCACAGCATGAGCACAATTTATTATTATTTTAGCTTTTGGGAATGAAAATTTCGAACCTTTTCTTTAGCACTAGCTTGTAAATAATTTGGTTATATTTAAATTGGTTTAATTTTTGTTTTAATTATTTTTTATTTTTTTTTATTTTTAAATAAATCTCGTACCCTCGGTTTGGTTAATGACTGAGGTTATGCATTGATTCACCATTCCGGTCTGCATCATTATCATGCCCACATCTGCAAAATTGTTTATTTACAATTTGTAATTTAGATAATTAATTTCACAAATATAATGATTTTCAGATATTTTTGAAACAAATTAAACATATAATCAATTATTAAAAGTGCTTTTAGGGTTAATTAATTCTTTTTCAATTTCTTTACATCTACTTTTTATATAATAAAAAAAAATTTTTTTTTTATTTTTTTTTTATTATTATTATTTCGGTTTTGTTATCATTCTTGATCGTTGCTTAAAGATATTAGATTAAGTAGATTAGATTTGAGTTAGTTTTAAATTTCATTTTCCCTTTAAAAACTTAAGAGTTAAATCGCGAAATTTTGCACTGTTAGTTACATACATACATACATCCATTGCAGCGACAATTCATACATACATATGTATACGCACAGACATTCCACAATTAAAAACATCGTTATGCAAAAAAAAAAAAATATATATATATATATATATGCGATTGTAGGTAGTTACGAGGAATTGTTGTTAAAACCATTTTGTTGGAGTTTGTTTTATTTTTTTTATTATTTTTTTTGTTTTTTTTTTTTTTGTTTTTGTTTTATTTTGTTTTGGATTTTAAGACTAGTGACGAGGTCTAACTATGTGTTGGAATGTGTGGGTGTGTGTATGTATGCGTGTGCGAATAAATTAAACTACATACATATGTACAGACATACTTTTCGTAAAAAATCTTATACATAATAATTTATATAAATATAATACAAGGAATTATAAACACATAGAGAACCTTTTTACAACAATCTCAAGGGACGCAAATATTTGTGATTATTATTTACAGAGTTGAGGTGGGTGCGGTGGGGCACTTAAGTTGGCATTTTATTTACATATATACCTACAATATTACATATATATATGTGTGTGCTTCATTTAAAAATGTTACTATCCTACGCCTAAAACGTGAAAAACACAATAATAATCCTCTTTAGCTAGGGTTTCCCTCTCTCTACTGTTTTTCCCACAAAAGAAGCCATCAGTCTCCTGAAAGCTTAAAACTAGGCCAATTCAAGCTTAGTGCCTACAATTACATCCACAGTTGATGGGCAATGACATGTTCTCCTGAACATGTTGTTATCAATTTCGATCTATAGATGATTGCTCTTTAAGACTTTGCACAAATATTTGCCAAAGACATCTAAAATACAAATACGTCCTTAGTCTCTCACAGCTAAACAGCTAAATCACACCCGCCCACAAAAAAAGTATTAAATCTACGAATAACATATAGATCTTTGATTTAAACGTATTCGTGATGATCGCGATATAAAAATTTTTAACTAAGGATACCGAAGATTAACCCATCAAGTTAGCCGCACTTTTTTAAGAGTTCATGCCTTTGCTAAAGATTACACCTTTCCGTCTTTCTTGACTTATAATTTCGGCAAAATAAAAAACCATTAGAAAACCATCACATTGTGTGCCTGAAAGAGGGCAACGCTTTATAAAAAATTTGCAATATATTTTAAAGGACATTGACAAGCAAACATCATGATTGCATTGTCCCCACAAAATACCCCATATAACTATATCAATAGAGACTGTTTTATATGCAGGCACCCTACTGGCCTTTCCTAATTTCGGACTTTTTCTAATTAACAGTTTCATCATGTCGAGGAGTTCCTTCTAATCAAAGGGTCAAAGCGCATTAAAACCTACTTTTCTCTAAACCCTTTATAATCCAAGGTATACTGAATTTGTTCATATGTACAGAAGAGCTTACGATAGACCTATCTTTTATTATTCCGATCGATTTAGAATTTATGCTGAAATGTAATCTTAACTGTCCGGCTGATATCTGCTTATGCCTTTTTTGGTTTAACCTACTGCTCGCAATTTTTGGAATATTGTGACTAAATTTGTTTCATTGACTTGTTTCGGCCCAAGGAGAACGCTCCTTCTCGCTCGGTCGCGATTGGATCACCTTTGCTACCATAAAATGCCTTATTTTGTATTTCTCGATGAGACATCATTGCCTAGTAACTCGAAAAATTTTCCCTCGGATGGGCCAATTTTATAAAGCACCTCTCATATCACGCCTTATTTTGAAAAGTCGTTATATGGAAAAAAATTATTATAAAAATTTTCAAAATTTGTTGACAAAACTCTCTGAGAAATAGTAGTAAAATTTTGTTTCGATTTGTGAAATTTTTTGGACCGCCTCTTATATAACCGTTCGTATGAAAACTTTATAGGGTAAAAAGATATGATTTTCAATATTTTATGATGAAAAGTGGCCCATAATAGTAAATCGACAAAGAAGTGAACTTTACCGAATTTAGACTAAATACGGCTAACTTGTTTTTCTTCATATACATTTCGATATCATCTAATTGCCCAATACTTCTCAGCAAAGTCGCAAATGTCGCGTAAAGATTGTCTAGCAAAAAGGAAAAGGTGAGCTACATTTGACAGGCAGGCTACCTTCTAGTACTAGTTACTTCCGTACTGGTCATAAATGATGTCACACGGCTTGCACAGAGGCCTTTGCTTACTCACTATACTACTTAATAATGTTGCTTCTCGTTATAAAAATAGTAAAAATTTTCATCTCTCGATTCGAATTCGAATTATTAATTTGTTGAAATAGATATGAATATATAGCCTAAGTCAGAATTCAATGGTGGTCATCTATGTATAAAACATTATTATGCAGGAATAAATTATAAATAATTAAGTAAATATAAGATAAACTTATTCACTGGATCACATTTTAAGTAAATAAGATTAGTACAGCAAAGGTTGTGAGTCGAATATAATTAACTTTTTTTTTTTTCTTTTGCTTTTTTTTTGTTTTTTTCTTTTTCATTTTTCTAAATTCATTTACAATACCTTACGTTTACAGAGCTATTTGTGAGAGGATATATAGATACATGCATAGCAGTATTTAAGCTAACATATGTAAATATACCGCCAACAATCCTTTTCTGATTGCCAATTACAAATGCATTACATAATAATGAAGCAAAGACTTTCAAAACTCCGTCCACCAAATCATAGATAGTAGTAGCGGAGTGTTTGAAGGCATTTCGCAAAAACAAGTTTGGATAAGAGTTCTCCTTACTAAATGATAGTTAAGAGAGCGATAGAACTTTTGAAGCAAACTTGAGACTTTATTCAAAGCAATTACTTGCCAATTAATTGGCCACCAGAATAGGATAAATTTTTATTATTATTATTTTTTTTAATTTTTTTTTATGTTTATTAATTTTAACTATAATAGCAATAAATTTTATTGCTAACATTATGTACATTTACGTGTGTAGTCAAAAAACATATACATTCATGAATTTCACAGGTGAGTATAGGCAGCTCAGTATATCATGCACTTTCTGTATTAGAACTATTGTTATTTTTTTTTTTTTTTTCAATATTCATGGACGTTCTGGAGAGAAAGAGGAATAAAATTTATGCCATTTTGGTGCAATGATTAAAGAACGGAAGAAACTTTATTAAATATATATATGTAGTTTTGATTGTTACATTATTTCAGTTTTGTTTGAGAGAAGAATAGAAATTAACTAAATAACTCAAATAAAGGGGCAAAATAAATGAAAATTACAACCAAAAAAAAACAACAAAAAAAAAACGGACGGGAGAAAAGGGAAAGCAAATATCTTTCTTTTACTTTATAATCGATTTCTACTCTACAAATATATCGGGGAAGGAACATAAAAAGTGAAACGTGAACAAAAAACTTTCAAAAATGCTTTCCTTAATTGTGCCAAATTATTAACAATTCCCAAGCTGTGAGAAGGCGTTCATTCCATCATTCACTCCTTTCGTCCTATCAAAAATTCAATCTCAATTATCTTTTGCACTACGAGCTTTCTCTATTCACTTGCTTGCTGACAGAAGGGAGATTTTGCAAACGTGCTGCTGCACACGTTATGTATGCATAAATTGTTGGCCTATTGTAAATCATTTTAATTTATAGGAAGTCTTATGTGAAGAAAGTTTATAGCATGACATGGACAGCTCGTCCATGAAAGTGTGCTCGGGGAAGAGTAACGAATTTGTGTGAAAAGCAATCAAGCCGTATAGTCATGGGAAGAAGGCAAAGTCGTTACGCAAAGTCCTTTAGTATTCGTTATTTTATTTATTTATTTATGTGCGGGGGAGGGCCACTGATGGTTATTGAAAAAGTATAAAAGAAAAAGATTCTTTCTCTTATTAGTATGCCAGTCCGATACATGATATTTAACTTTCAGAGTGAATGACTGAAGAAAGAACATTTTTCCGAGGTCCTTCAACAAACGCGCTTTTCGTAAGGCACACAATCACTAGAAAAGTGTTTAAAATAATATGTCTTTTGTCGCCAGAGGATAGAGATTTTTTCATTCTACAGGATAATTAAAATAATATGCAATTTTCCAAATTTAGACTGAATATGTTTCATTAGCAGGACCTCTATCGCGACATATGCTTTTATACCTTTTAGGCCCTAAAACTTGCTTTTCATTTATGGACTGGTATATGGAATACTTTCTAGTGGAGATATCTTCTCAGATGTTTACGCAGTAGTAAGACAGTGAATTAAAAACAAATATAATCCCACATGTGTTACATGTGTCCAGGATCGTTTCGTAAACTTTTCGATACTTTGTTTTAAATTTTCAAATTCTTTTCGATACTTTGGTACGAAACTATGCAAAAATTTTCAAACGTCTGAGAATCAAAAAAAAAACTTTAGGAATTTTTTTCATTTGAAAGAATACAAAAAAAAATTGAAAAAACCATGAAAACTAAATAGAAAGACAAATTAAACGGAGAGCATAGTAACAAAGGAAAATGAATCATCATGTTGTCAGAAGTGTTGAGAAGAAGTAATGTACACTTACAAAATTGATAAATTTTGCAACAAACAGAAAAGCAGATTTTTCTTAGCCATTAACATAACATAGATTCTTTGATAATAAATAAAAGTTAAAAACGAAAATGGAATTGGAAATGGAAACAAAAACACGCATTATTCATCTTAAAAGCAAGTATTTGAAGATCCATTAACTACGGTCCGCATATGCCATGCAAATCAATCAATCGATTCATTTTTCTTTGCAAGTCTTTCACGCATTAAATGAACATAGGGTTCGATCTGGAAATTATTAAATGTGGTATTCAGTGGTATTTTTTTCATAGCCAAGTTCACACTTAAGTCGCATTATCATTACATATTTTGACAATTTGCGAAGCAGGCTTTCGTGTTCGTGGAAACGATTGTGTGATTCTGGGCAATAGATTTTGTTTGATGCTGAAAAGTCGAAAGAAGCAGTCCCGACATACATTACTTTTTTCGCAGTCGAAAAGACTAAAATGCTGTTCAAGCAAGAGAAAAATTATTGAATGTGTAGAGAAAGGATGCATATAACGAATGCCAGTGTCAAGTGTGGTCTCAGACCGATAACTCCGATGGTCGGTGGGGTCACGATAACATAAAAGCCTTGAACTGCCTTTCACATAGCGAAATGACTTTCCGGTCAATCCAATGTCAATTTTTTCATTTACTTCTGTTTATCATTTCTCTACTCATGCAATAATGAATAACAGCATCGTTCCCTATTGCTTCCACAGGGGTTTATGCACATAAAATTATCTTCACAATACTAATTAGTATCTACGGTCGTGCGGAAAGCTAATGACAAAGCACTGGAGAGAACTGGGGAGAATAAATTTCATGCTTTCGACATATGGTGACGAAAAGAAATTGTCATACAGGTGATGAAAGGGTCGAAAATGAAGTTCGGTGAACGGCGCCCCGCTTTTTCTTTAAAGAAGACGAACAAAATCCTTTGACAATCATGCGCATAACTAAGAAGCAAGGCATTGGTAAACACTTTCCATAGGTAAGACATAAACAGATCAATTATTTCATCGATTGTTGTGTATTAAGGTGCCGTTAATGCATTAAGCTTGGTTGAGAAATCTGGTGAAATTTGGTCAAATCTGCTAATCTAAGGTGAATGCGGTTTTCGTTTTTTTTTTTTTTTTAATTTTCTTTTTTTCTTCCTTAAATGATTTTACAAATTTGAAAATGAAACATACGCACAAACAACAGATTCTGATGGGATTCGCAAATTGTTCTTGCATTTGCATTTTTATAAACTGAATGGCAAACATTATAAAAAAAAAAAAAAAAAAAAAAAAAAAAAAAAAATTTTTTATTTTAATTTTTAATTTTTTTTTTAAAAAAAAAAAAATAAAAAAAAAAAAAAAAAAAAAAAACAAATATATATATAAAGGAATGGTTTTTTGCTGTTAATGAACAAATCTTATAAAAAAATTTATTTTTAAATTATCTTTAAAATGATTTACCTAAATCATCGAATTTATTCCTGGGCTGTACTGTCACTGTGTTGGGTTTTTTTTTTTTTTGTTAATTATTATAATTTTTTTTTGTTGTTGTTAATTTTTCATATATAAGTAGATATATGGTTTTTTTTTTTTTTTTTTTTTTTTTTTTGCCAAAACATTATTTTCGCTCGCACAGATTCACACAAATAAACAGAAAATGAGAATTGTTTTTAGTTGTAAAATTTTTTTTAGTTTAGTTTTAAATGAGGTTGAATTCGTAGAGAGTTCATTTTTAGGCAACAAGACCACGCCAACGTGTTTTGTATATAAAAAATTTATAAAGAAATTTTAATAAAACAAGACATTTCAATAATACCTTATAAAGAATATTAAACACCTTATTATTATAGAAGATTTTCGGAACTTCATATAGCTTAATTTATATATATGTAAATAAATACTTAATATATATAAAATTATTTTATATTATTAATAAACATAATATATATTATATTCATTTCAAATAATTCAGAATAAGTAAAAAAAAAAATTAAAATTTTTTACAAAAATAACGTAAAAATGCCAATTTTTAGTCTTTTCCAAATATTCAAAAAGAAAAAAAAAAAAAAGTAAAACAAAACACAAAAAATGATTATAACAATAATAATAATAATAAGAATAATAATAAAACATCAATAAAATAAACAATATGCTTACAATTCTTGCATTTGCACTTTTTGATCAAGGTTTCATCTTTGATATCCTCATGACAAGCCTTGCAATAGAACCAAGCTCTGAAAAAAAAAGAAATTATTTTTAATCTAATAAATACAATACAAGCATATAAATATTTCTTATTATATATTATGTAAATCAGTTTAATGAATTCTAATATAAAAACATTTTCGCAAGTCAGTGTTGTTCGCGAGGTCAAATCCACTTTTTACCCTTGGTCATAGATGTCGTGCTAGCTCGTTTACTCGCTCGCAGGCATAACGCTTAAGGGTAACTTTCTGAAATAATTGCGTCAATTTAAGGCACCTCGTACCAAGAGCAACAACATTCATAGCAAGGTATCTCACATAAATTTACCGCATCGAAGTACTCTCGAAAGAAATCGTAAAAAATGTTCTTCTTCATCAATATGAACGTCTAGGAACCCACGACAATTGAGACTCTTTGCCTACTCTTTGACTACTTGGGCGAATGAAAACTATTTTATTTATTTATTTATTGTCTATATATTTTCAAAAATATATTTACAAAGTATGCTACCAGATACCTTAGATCATATGCCCCCCTCTATTGAAAACTTTACCCCACTTGAGATTTAAATCCGCGTCCATTGAGATATTAAACGCGATCTTTCGCTTACTCGGCTACTCATTCGGATCAGAATTGAAAATTATCTCTGTACAATGTACATACACATGAAGGTACATTGTCTTTATGTAGAAAGAAAAATTCAACACGCCCACTTATTATTAGGCAACAATAAAATGTAATTCATCCAATCTTTCATGTTTCTTTAGTCGTTGTCCATGCACAGTTACAAGTAGATGATCGCGTCCACGACATAGTATAAAGCATGAAAAAGAATACAAAGGCAGTGCCAGCCGAATAAAAATTTTCTCATTTGTTTCCTCTATGTACTTACCTCTTGACTTCATCAGCACTTTGTGCGATAAAAAAGCCTTGTGTGTTCGCTTGGATTTTGACGCCTCTAGGATTTATGGAAATTTTACTATCGGCACCATCTTCATTACCTTTAATCTCAATAGCGAGCAGTAAGAGTTTCAATTTCGAGAAACATAATCTATGCGTCCATAATTTGATTATTAAAATACCAAAGAAGAAAAAAAAAGTTATTACGTCAGAACCATTAAAGATCATTGTGAATGAATTACGTATGCATTTATTTATATATATCCTTTAAAATATTTTTATATTACTTTTAATGTACTTTCTTTCATTTTGTTTTTGTTTTTGGTTTGTACAATAGACTGACTACTCTTCTATTGCGAAAATCGGGAACATGCTTTAAATGCCTTAATTAAACAAAAAAAAAAAAAAAAAAACAAAAAGGAAAAATATTTACAAATGTTTTTAAGCTTGAATGCAACTACAAAAAAAAAAAAAAGTAAATAAATAAATAAATAAATATTTAGGTATTAAAAGAGTTGCAATTTACAACGCAAGACTATGTTATTTATCTACGATTTTTACGTTTAGCTTACAGGCGATGTTTTCATTAATATTATTATTATTATTATTATGTTTGAGTTGAGTAAAGAAACGTATGCTTGATGTGTGTCAGTGTTTTTTATTAATTTTTTTTTTTTTGTTTTTATTAAAAGATAAAATTATTGCTTAAGATATATACATATATATATATATTAATGCATTCCAATAACTGAAATTATAGGAAATAAAGAAAAACACACAAATATCACATCTTACGGAACCAAACAGGATACAAAAAGAACAGTTAGAATATTAGATAGTCTAAAAAATAGTATTTAAGCTGCCTAACATATTCGATTAGAGGGCCGAATCTTTTCATACCCACTACCAATTTATATATGTAGGTGTATGTAAGCATAATATCAATAAATTTTTATGAATCGTTCGTCGATTGCTAAGCAAAGCGTAACCCAATCTAAGTATGAATATGTATGTAGACGATAAGTACTTTTTGTACTACTATGACTTTTTCATTATGCAATCATTTTTTTTTTTTTTTTGTCCACGAAAATTCCAGACTTCAATCCCAACGCGTATCACAAACACTGACAGTCGTTATAATTCGTTTGCGTCGCTCAATGTTTTGCGGCAACTGATTCTCATTTCTGATAAACGGATTAACTAATCCGATAACAGTGATCATGTGTTCGTTGAACAATTTTTGTGGTGGTGGGTATAGAAAATTGATCTTCGCGATCAATCGAAACGTGGCTAAGTGTATGTTTATCAAATAAAAGTAAAAGTAAAATAAAAGGAAACTGTTTGCGTTGCTTTTGTGCATAAAATCTCAGGGTCTTACTCGCTGGCTTGCGGGAATGTCATGCCGGTAAATGAAGGTGATAGAGTTTCGGTGTACATCTCACACCCAGTACCTTGAAGATAATCATTTTGCCAAGCTTGAGTATCGGGAGACTGAAAGTTATAAAATTATATAAAATGTTTCAATAGGTACGGATTGCTAGGTGCAGTTCAATTCAAGATGCAATATCGGCTGGCATGGATGTTGACGACAACAAATTTTGACTCGCACTTTAATCAATTATCGATTCATTGGTCAATTACTTCTTTTTTTTTTTTTTGTCAAAACTTTTTATTTATTTATTTATTTATTTTTTTTTTTTTTTTGATTTTTTCTTTCTTTAAATAAAAATCCAATTCGCATATGTCGTAAGGAATGGTGCATATTGCGCGAAGCCTGGATAAACATTCTGGAATATTATAAATTGTCAAACATCTGTACACTGCTGTTTTGTGATTTTTTTTTTTTTTTCATGTGCTAGATTAGTTGCAGCTGGATTTTTATTTTTTATTTTTTTTCTTTTGAAGTGTTTCCTTATGTTGTGTGTAGGAGTTTTTTTGTTCTTTCGAATTTTTCTTTTATTTTTTTTTGTAAAGTAAAGCAATTTTTATGTTTCTCTGCATGATTCGAGTAGGAAACTCGAAGAGATTATTTACTGGAGTCAAGTTATCAAAAAACAAAATTTCAATCCTCAATCAATGTAAAATATTTTGGGGATATGAGCAGGTTTTGTAATAAATGAATCCGTCAATATTTACTGAGATGTTATGAAACGTAAAATAAATCAATAAATCAAAGTAGTTCTGGTTTCGAAAAGTTCGGGCTAAGGGGCTCTTTGAGTGCTGCTGCGTGTGTGATAGTTTGCAAAAATGATTTTACAAATACAAAATATCGACAGCACTTTAAGACTAGCAAAATATCAGGCGTGAAAATGAAAATAACAAGAGAGATAGACTACTAATGATTGAAAAAAAAATGTTTAGCCGGATTAGACACAAATTCATTATGATTGTGATTAGAAGCCATCGATCGATTGGTGCACAAAGAAAAAAAAAGAGTAGCTTACGTCTCAGCTTTTATTAGTGGGTTAAAGTGTACTGTACTGTATGTTTTCCTAGCCAATCTCTGACGTGTGTACAACAATACAAACGATCTTAAAAGATGTAACTGTTAATATAACAATCTTGTTTTAGAGCATAATTTAAAGCTTATTTATTATGTAAAATACATCGAAGGCAAACACATTTTTTTTTTTTTTCGTTTTAAACACATATGTATGTAAAACCGAGTAAGTGAGAGAGAGAGAGAGAGAGAGAGAGAGAGAGTAAGAGGTAAAGAAAGAGAGTGATAGAAATATTGAGGAAGAGAGAGACAGATAGAGAAAGTGAGAGATATAAAGTGACAGCAAGAGGTGGAGAAAGGTTCCAAGAGATACTAAAATATATTTTGTACAAAATATGTTGAAAAGCTTTCGCATTTAATACAGTTATGGTAGGGTGGAATGTAAGTGAACAAACACATCGACGATAGATTTAATCAATTATCAATTTATATGGATATATGCGTATATGGATGAAATGTGTACGAATGCAGCACACTGTAAATTGTACGATATCCCAAAGAAATATAGATTCATATAAAAATTATAATAACCTGATTATAAGATAAGTAAATCATATTTAGAGCAAGTCATGATGATCGGTTTTATGCGAAAACAGAAAACGATGCAAATTAGTTTTTTGTCGTAACAGTGGCATTCATCACTTTGATGACTAAAATGAAAACTTGGCCAAGGAATACAGAGAACGCTTAAAGCTCCGCACATTATTGAATTTCTAGACGAAGTATATCTCGAAAGCTAGCCGAAGTGAAATCAAACCTTGACCATTCCGTAAATGTTACTCGATTTCGTTCTTGTCAATCCCAAATTTTAACAACTAATGAAATCAGTCTTCAATATCAATACAATGAATATTTCATACGCATAATTCAAGTTTACTGTAATCGAGTAAGTTTTTGAATGCATATGTAGTTTAGTCAAGTATGGCTCAACGAATACCTGTTTGTTTTCAAATTAGCTTAAGTTTATTTTCAAAGATAGAAGAAATTGCGTCTAATTTTAACACATTTGCACAAGTGTAAGTAAACACAAGCAAATATATTGATTTCGAAGTAAATCGATTCAGATTATTTTAGTAACACTCCTGAGCGAATGAAGGCCAGGCTTTGTCACTCGATTATGTAGGTCTTCTCAAGCAATACCCATGACGCAAGCAATTGAAGAGCTAAGGATCCTTTATTATCTATGTTTTTGGTTACTTCTGCAATTGCTCGCTTAACTAAGAAAATCCTTAGAAATCCCTAAATGCTTGTTGTAGTTACGAAAAGCTTTGGGTATAGACCTGAGTATGAGAATACCTAGCGATCCCTTGATATAGATACAAATGCCTTTCTTAAATTGTTGTCATTGTCGTTGTTGCTGTTATGTAAGTCTCTCGAAAGCCAATACCAACAAGACGATCCTGCATACGTATGAACATCGAGAATTTAAAAGTTTAACTTCAAGTAGCGAAAATTATTTTTATGTAAGGATCGTCTTTGAATAGTTACGGATTAGTATGCTTAACTGGTGCCTACAAATTTTATATGAAGAGAGTGTGTGTGTGTGTATGCGTTATATTCTGAATTATGAATATTTAAAAAAAATGAAGTGCCGTTGATATAAGTGCGAGTGAGCGGGCGGGCGGATGAATGGATGGATGTCTCTATATGTTTTTAGAATTTTCTTATATTCACTTAATTTAAAAAATTCCACAAATGAATCTTATTAAAGGCAAGTGTGTGTGTGTGTGTGTGTGTGTGTGTGTGTATATATTTGATGTGGTAAAACGACTTTCGTTTATGTAAAACTTACTCAGTAGCCTGAGCAAATGGTATTCCAATGAATGTAGGACTCAATGTTTCAGTGTACATTTCCATGCCAGTACCGCGAAGGTAATCATTTGTCCAAGACTGCATGTCTGGCGACTGTATTTAGATCAATCATAGGCACATAACCATAATTTATATTAATTTACTTCGTTTTCATAATTGATACTTAGGTTTCGTGTATTGGATATCTATTCATAGGTAGACACACGTATGAAAAACTTTAAAATACGTGTATATATGTAATATATAAACATATATATATATATATATATATATATATGTATATCTGTATATATATTAACATACATAGATATATACATATATATACACCAAACAGGTATTGTACAATTAGTTCAGTCAGTTCAGAAGTTGAAGTAGATTTCAGATAAGCATCACGCTTACCGTTTCGTAATTGGTAATGGAACATTATAGTTATTTAAAGACTTTTAGTGAAAAACTGTCGCACAGTTCAGTGAATGTGTTTAAAGTAAGTTGAGGCGAAACTTACGGTTTTAAAGGAACGCATGGCAAATAAATTTGCCATCATAGTGGAGAAACCAGGAGCCAAACAGCTTTGTGCGATGAATCCTAATTTTAATTCAGCCAAACAAATGACGTCGTCACCTTGCTTCCAATCCCAAGATGGTATATTCAGCAGATAAGCCTTAATGTGCCCAACAATAAGAAAGCGATTTAATTAAAAAATGCACTCTAATGCACACATATATACATAAAAGTCTATATTTACCTTATTGTGATATTGCATCAATTGTATAATGACTCTTATATCGTCGCTATAATTTTTTATAGAAATAACTCGCATTATATTGGCAGCATCTTCGGCATCCGGATCCTGGCAATATTTATTGGCGAGCACCAAGCAGGCATCAGCTTCATGAACCTTGAATATTTTTTTTTGTTTTTTTTTTTAAGCTTTTATTAATACATTTTGCAAAAATATAAATAAGTATATAATTTTTATATACACAGGATACATAATATGATTTTTATGTAGCAGTTGTTCCGATTATGCAATAGTGTGAGGTTATGTTATGATTTGCAAATTTCTGCCAAAAGGCTTATTATTATTATTATTATTTCTCGTGTCGTATTATGTTCGCTCAATTATTAAGCGTGATAACAATGTGATACAGTATTTGAACGTTCAAGTGTTTAAATGATATTAAATGAATCATTGAATGAACAGCACATGTGACATGTGACATGGCATGGGGTTAACCAAAATAATTGAAGGCCAAGAGTTGTTAAAAAGCAAAATGTTTGCAAAAATCAAATTTCGACATTAATTAATCATTCGACTGCGTTAATAGTAAAAAAGAATATTTACAGTTACAATACAATAAATAAATCATTATAATGGGAAGAAAGGACGCAAAGAAATCAAATGGATGCGTGCACGACCGACATGCTCTCTATTCATTTCAATTATTACATAGCTACTTATGTAGTATTTATTGCTACACAATAACAGTGTCGTGTAAAAGTTTACAAAATTACGCTAATTCAGGCGATAGGCATTGCTTTACTAATAATGCAAAAAAAAAAAAAATATATATATATATATATATACATATATATATACATGCAAGCTATTTACTTTGAAAGTGATTTAAATCCATTTTGCAAACAAGTCAAGATTTCTATTTTAAGATGCTATATGATATATATATATAAACATATTTACAGGATTTCATCATTATGATATGCTTTTAATGACGATTTCAATGATTTCAATTCAAATCACGCACAAACAACACAATTTTCGCATATAATAAAAAAATGTATTGAAACTGATTACCATAAAATCAATGAAATGACCTTGTAACCTACGAGTTCACCTCTCTACTATTTTTATGCCAAATTTATAGTAGATTTGGCAAAATTTGGAAATTTGGAATTTCTTTCTCCACAGCTAGATGTATTTTCGATTATTTGCATTGCATTTAATATTTTTGTTTTTCTAAGTTAAGGGAACTGTCATAGTTAATTACTTGATGTAATGTTTCTGAATGGAATGTCAAAAGCATATATTGGAATCTAGGGAGGATGTTGAAAATCGAAAACTAGAGTTTTTTGCAAATAGAGACCAGGACTTCTATGAGAGAGGCATTTTGAAGTTACCTTGAAAATGGCAACAAATCATACAAACAAACGGTGCATATTTGACCCAAATCGGATAATCCGAACTCTATTAAATAAAGTCCTGAAGTTCATATAAAAATAATGGATTTCTTTTTCCCCAAACTAATATATTTTTAAATGAAATTACTTGACGAAATCACTGAAAACACCCTCACTACAAAGGCGCTCCAAACAAAATATTTTTAAATAAATGAATTTAGATCACTTTCAAAATGAACAACTGATAGAAATGAATAGCGAACAAGATTTATAATGAGAAGAAATTAAAAATGTTATTAAAGCTAATTGGAAATTATATTATTTAAAGCAACACAAATACAAAGTCATAGAAAATAGTTTATGAGCAATTATAAAAGAAAAACAAGTAAAAAAATTATGGGCGGGTTAAGCCGACCGTCAGATATCCTACACCACTTCGCCTTGTTAGGGGCAGTCACTCGTTTTGATAGCAAATCAACCAAAACCTGCACATTATTTTCATATGAAGGCATACTTTCTATGAAAGACCACATATAGAAGGAAGGATGCCCGAAAATATCGCATTTTATTATTTTTCAGTTTTCGTCATAAAAAAAAGTAGAAAATGCACGTTCTCTTCGTACAAGGCCTTACTTTCTATGCTAACCCCTATATATGATGTGCCTAGGAGAGAGACCTACCCGATTCAAATTCCCTAATGTTAAGTGTTTTCCAAAAATGTTACTATGAATCAAGTTTTATTATAAAATATTAGAAATTATAATATCTTTCTCTGAAGGGCTTACTAATCATGAGAAATCTCATATGGTGCAGGATCCAAGAAATAGACTCAAGTGCTGTGACACACTTTACTTTTATGTCCAATAACTATTGTGAATAAATTTTCTTCTTAAAACATTAACAATTTGGTCTTTTCGGCATTTAAAGGCTTACACGACATGCGGTTGTATTCAAAAAATAGTCGATGAGATTGATTTCTTTGTCAATTTTCTATTTTGAACCAATTTCCATCATCACAAAATATTAAAATTTGGATCTTTTTGGTATCGAAAAATTTCGTAGGAGAGGGGTTTCAAAAAATTACCCCAGCCGATTATATATTCTTCAGACCATTTAAAAATAATGTGTAAATATTATTATTGAGCGCCTTTTACCGAAAATATTTTCAAAATTAGTTTTCTTTTTCTCAATAACGACTTTTCCGAATAAGGTGTCGCTGTCTTTCTACTTCTACTAGCTGCGTTCGCTTTTAACTGGTCAAATGTTTATTTATAATGGCATAATTTCGCGAATTTGATTAAGTTGTTGATTAAGTTTCGCGTTTAATCATCCAATATAATATATAGACACTTTTATTAAAATAAAGCAAGTATTTTTTCCATTTGAAAATATTTTGTTATTTTTATACGAAACGTAGTAACTTCATGTAAACGTAACATAACATATGTACATGTTTATGATTAATACACATATGAAAGAGACACTAGGAGAGAGCGAGAGCGAGAGAGAAAGGGAGAGCGAGAGAGAGAGAGAGATAGAGAGAGAGATAGAGAGAGAATGATAGAGAGGGTTACGGAGGGAAAAAGGGAAAGCCGTGTAGTGAAGTACAGAGAGCGTATTGTAATGAAAACGTTTAATGTGAAAGAGAAAGATAGAGAAAAATAGATTAAATTTGAATATAAAATGTAAGATTTTAAACATTTATGTACGCATATATGCAAATGTAGATTATATTGTAGTAGTACGGAATGACTAACATTTACGCGATAGATTACCTTAACCCTTTGCAGATCTATGGGATTCATAATAGTGCCTTGGAAAAACTCCACAGTGGTAAAGTGACGCTTAAACAAACCTTCCAACTCCAAATCGGGCGGTTTTCTTTGATTCAAATTCGTATCGTATTCGTATTTCATTCAGATTAAATCGTTTTTTTTTTGTTTTTTTTTTATTTTTGGATCGTTTGTTTTATTTAAATGTAATTAAAGCAAGTTCCGTCAGGTTTTACAAAAGGTAGAGTGTGATTGGTTGGAGTGTTGTTGGAAAATTCATGATTTAACATGTGTTTGGTTTTTATTTTATGAAAAAATAAATTTACAAAGAGAAATTCATTTAAACAGTTTTCAAATACGAAAAAAAAAAAAAGAAGAAAAATGAAACAAAAAACAAAAATTGGAAAAAAAGCATAAAAAGAACAAGAACAATTCCTTTTTTTTTGGATGGCTAAAATTCGCTTAAACCTAAACTTAAAAAAAAACAATTATTTTTTTAAAAATAATCTTTTGCGATGTCTGCTCTACGAAAGCCATTAACTTAAGCATTAAAATTACTACCAGTATTTTAGAAACGACAATAACAATAATAATAATAATAATAATTAGAATAATCAGAATAATAATAATAATAATAATAAGTTAATAATATTTATATACAGCAGACTCTCATATTTACGAATATAGAAAAGAATCCAAGTGCTAATAAAATTCGATAAGCTTTTGAATATAACAAGTTTAGAATACATAAGTATTTAGAAAAAGAAAAGGTGACAAGAAAGAAATAAGAATATATATTCGCCTTGAGACGAATCATACTCTGCTCCCCACCTCAGGACTAACGATTATATATGTAAAGAAGTCAGCAAATTATGTTCGGGTCTCACAGAATTTTTCATATCCGTCTCACAATTGCCATAAAAAAAAGACTAAAAGAAAGGAAAAGAATTAAATTTTTATACTCTATAATACTGGATGGATGGGCGCGGCCGATAAAAAGTGCAAAGTCATATTGTCTATGTATAGTACTTTGCGAGTAATATTGCAAAAAACACAGAAAGCAAATGTGTTTACAGTGTCCTTTGTCCTGATTTGGATTATTTTCAAATTCTTTCATATCTTCAAAACGGACAGAGGTACATGCGCAAACGTGTTGGGAATTTGATGCTGATCGAGTATATTTCGAGTTTGTGGGTTCTCTGAAACTTCCTTCCGGGCATTGCATATGACTTGAAGTTCTGGCCGCGAAATGTCGTCTTCATTCGATGACGGGTACAAAGAAAGGTATACGGCAATCCTTTGTAAAGCACTTAGTAGTTGGAAGTATTTTTCAAACAAAAATTATATATAATTATGTTCCTTATTGCAGATTGATATCTACTTTGTTAAAATTTCTACCCATCACTTCATGTCTCCGCGATCATTTAGAGATTTAGAGATTTCGTTCAATGGATTCAATTAGATTTTCCAAAGATTGTAATAACATTGTGTAAGATATGACTAAAAACCTTAGCCTTTTATCAAATTTAATCCATTGTCAAGAATATTTTCGAAAACATTTTAATATTTCGTTATTCTATCGCTTTATCGGTTATTCGATAATGAAATTCTTTCCTTCGGTGGTTAGCACATGAAATAAATAAAAATAAATTAATAAATATATTTTCACTATAAACTAATCTTAAAAAAGATGAAATTGCTTACTTAATAACCATCGATTGCGTAATTTTGATAAAGTATTTCCTTTTTAAGCAAAAATTTTAAATCTAATTAAATTAATAAATGAAAATAGGAAAAATAGGTTCAATAATAAAACTTCTCTCTCAATACACATCAGATAAGAAAAACTCAAGATGCATTCTACGAGAAAAAAAAAAAAAAGTATGGCAAAAATGCTAATAAAAGATTTTACGTGTAATTATATATATATATAGTTTTAGAGTCAAATAGGTAGGATTCTGTATATCATTCACTTAATGAAAAAAAAGAGGAAATTTTTTTTGCCGAAATCATCAAATGTGCCTTTCGAAAAGCAATTGTTTGTGGCTGATTTTTATACATAAAAAATTTTATATATATTTTAATATCATATCACAGCGTTTGAGAATGACATTGTGATTGACTGGTTGTCTGTAAATGAATCCACTTGTACATGGGCTAGGGCTATGACTTTCAAAAAGGTAACCAATTGAATCGATTCTTTGATAAGCTTTTCTTTTTTTTGTGTTGATTTTTTCATTTTTGGCATTCAAGGTATTTATATAAGAAATTTTCTTTTTCATTCTTTTTTATAAAATGCACGAACTTTCTTTTTTTTTTTTTTTGTAAATTTCATGATGAAGTTGTTTCGCTATATTTTTCTATTTTTTGTTTGTTTGTTTGTTTATTGGGAAAAGTGTATACCTTGACTCGTTCCAAATCTACGGCATTCATCATGGTTCCCTGAAAAAACGCAACTGTCGTATAATGGCGTTTTAATAATCCCTCTAGTTCCAGATCAGGCTCCTTGCTGTTTTTGTGCAATACAATTTTAATTTATATATACATAAATATATATATATATATACATATACATATTTTATCCACGCATGTGTAATATATATTATAATCATATTTCATAGAATTTATTCTTTTTTAAACATAAATTATAAATCAATTAATCAACTAATTTATATGTGAACGTGTATTTAGTAAAAAGTTCTTTTTTTATTCTTCTTGCTACGGAACAAACGAATAACAAAAAAACATATCACTAAAAGATAACAATATCTATAAGTAGATTCACTAAACACGGTGTAAATACATACACGCATTGTACGTTAGCAAGATTATATTCAGTGCAAATATAAAATGACTATATTTTTGATGGATTTATTATGCATTCACTAGTATGTGGGACGAGCGAACGCCTTCATAAACGCGCCTCCAATACACTTAAATAGAAAACTCAATTAAGCAAAGACGGAAACCATCAATATCAACCGTTGATTGCATAAAATATTGTAAAAATACAAAAACATATCGAAGGCGTATGAAACGGTGTGAACTATAAAAGTATGCTAAGTTTTTGTTGCGTATACGCCACGTTCCATAAATAATTGCGCTGCTGTTAAGTGAGCATTAGATTTATTTTTATTGAGACTTCTCTCTCTCTCTCTTGTTATTTTCGACTGAAATGTTTCTTACGCTTATCGGTGGTTTTAGTTGATTATTCTTTGAACTCTATACATCTGATTTTACTTATCGATGAATAGATCGGTATATGCTACTTGCTTAAAACAAAGACAGTTAACAGTAAACAAACTACGCAAGTCAGTGTGCGAGAATTTTGTATTTGCAGGCAGAGATAGTGCTGTCAAATAAAGCTTAGTTGTAACGGACAATATATTCGCAATATGGTGTAGGGCTATGTAGATTTTACAAAAATCCTATCACTCAAAGAAGAGAGAAAAAAAAAATGAAACGCCACTCAATACATTTATGACGATCTGCTTAAGCAACTATTTGTAATTAATTTACTGTCATCGAATGCTCCGTATTAAATCTTATTGAACCGTAGCGTGTAAAGTATTCACTTTTATAAGACGTGAGAAATTCTAAATACACGTCACATAATTCCTAAAATCCTATCGTACAAATATAACTACATTTTACCAATAGTATGAAAAAAAAAGAAGACCTGCATATAAAAAAAAGGACAAGAAATCTTAATGTATTTATAAAATTAGATAGAAATTATAACAATAGTTGGGATGATAGCGTAATCTTTTTACTTACCGATGTAAAAATACAACTTCAACGTCCACATCCTCTCGGTCTTCGTGCAAAAAATCTTTGAGGAAATGAGATACAGACTCATATGTTATATGACCACACACCACAATATGTCTTTCAGAGTGTCAAGCAGGAACGTATTCATTATCAGCAGCATTTTAAGATTGCGCGTCAATTTGATTGATATTCATTTAAAGAAAATAAAAATATGTTAATCAATTTGCGATGTAAAGGTGAAAAATCGGGTATAAATTACAAACAAATTTTTTTTCATAATTTATTTATATAAAAATGTAAGTTTTTGTTTTATAGCGTTTTGTTTTTTTTTTTTTTTTTTTTTTGTTTTTTATTTTTATTTTTTTTTTCTCAGTTATGAAAGGGATGCATTGATTAGTTAACAGGTTACGTGATTATGATGTGAATAGACGTTTGTGTGTTTTGTTTATGAAAACATATTTTTAAATGATTTTCATTTTATATTTATCAAAAAATAGAGCAACATATAGACCATATACCATATACTAGAGTAATGCAAACTGCTTAGCGCTTTCCTTGTACGCAACGTTTAAGTTAAGATTCAAAAGCTTGACTTTAGAATATAGCAACATACGAGTCTTAATCAATTATCAATAATTTAATAAATTATGTCTCAAACAATGGAATGAACAAATTATCGGAAACAATTAGTTCCTATGAAAAGTGAGATCATCACTTGATCTTATGAGAAACAAGTGCAGAAGAATACAATATTTTTTTATGTTATAGTCTTTACTCATATAGATCTTAGCGGACAGTAGAGTACTTGTTTTCCGCGCAGAGTCGAAAACATGAAGATCGGCTTAAGCATAAAAACTAAATACATTTCTTGTCCTTGCTTTTGATGACTTGCCGTCTTTGTTAAAGATAGCCACGTATAGCTTGGCTACACCCTGGATGCTATCGACCAAAGTTCGTTTCGGTCGATTTTTTTTTTTTTAATCGTAAATATATATAATCTATAGAATTCGCTTTCCCAACACGAGGGAAAGGGAAATAGGGAAAATATTTACATGTCCGGGCTTGAAATGTTAAAGATCCTCAAGACATTTTGAATTTCTTCATCAATATTTGTGTCGCGTATTAACGTATCACACATTTACGGCAAAATAACAAGAATTCTCCGCTAACCTTAAGGGCTATATGTATGAAAAAGACTCGTCTTTACGCGTATATGTAAATATTTACTGTTCGTTGCCGAAGAGCTCCAGTAATTCCTTTCTTAAGAAAAATCAAACTCCCCGCTGACGATCGCCAATGTTTGCGTCATTACTCTGCACAAAAGGGATGGACACGTTCATTTGATTAATTTCGCGACTTCGAAATTAACAATGTGTACAAACATCGATTATTGAATATTGAAGGAATTTGCAGCTTGAAGGAATTCAAAAATGAATTACGCTACACTTTTATTTTAAAATTAGAAACCCTTGACTGAGGACTATTTGTGTACATATGTGTGTGTGTCTGTGTGACTGTGCGTGTGTAGACCAGGTTTTGGTCGTCAAAAAAATGAACTGATATGTTTATACACTATATACACATAAAACTGTTATTCTTCTATCATTCGAAGTCTGCACAAGTTTAACGTTTTCCTCCCATCACTTCAAATGTAGTGAAGTGCTTCTGAAAATGTTTTGCCAAAAATTTTTCCGCATTCAATTGTACGAATGTAGAACACCATAAGCGCGTATTTAAAATTTAAGTGAATTCAGTAGATATTGAAGAGGGGAGATAAGGCAACAAAAAGCGCAGTAATAAAAAAGAAAATTGTTACACGTGTGTGTGTGTGTGTGCGTGTGTGTTTACACATGTATATTGGTAATGTCAGGAAAGTGAAAAGTAGACTTTTGATTTTTTTTTTTTTTTTTTTTTTTTTTATAGAAAAACAATTCGAATAGCATTTAAGTAAAAAATTTTCGTAATAAAAATCATTCATAAATATGTTCATTAGATTAGATTTAATGTTTATTGTTGTTTTTAATGATAGATGCAGACTTGATGTGTTTGTGTATGTACATGAAGGCAAATATGCATATCAGTGTATGTCTTGACAGGGTGAAATGAAAAATCGCTTGGCAAAACTAAAGAGCGGAATTTCATTATTAGAATTTTTTGTAACGTGAAACCAATTGACATTTGTGTACATTTACTTTGTATTTTTCTTTTCAACGAAGATGTAGAGAAGCAAATAAAAATGCATAAAACAAAAATTTACATGAACGTAGAAAATTAAAAAAAAAAAAAAAAAAAAAAAAACGAAAAGACACTAAATGTAGGTAAAGGTGAATAACAATTAAAGGGATATTTTTAAACATTAGGAAAATTATACAACATATTGGATACCATTCTATAAAGCATTTACATCAGGCAGCTACAAGATGCAACAAAATATCAGTTTTTTTAATCCGCTATCCACGCTTACAGATTCAATGGTTTACTAGAACGAGCGAATTATTTGCGGCAGCGATTGCAAAGGAAGACCCATCTCCATATGCATTTTCCTCGAATGCATATGCCACGGCATAAGGTTAATTCCGTTATGAAAAAACGTAACAATCATCGCAAAAGCAATTGTCAAAAAGAAATTCAATTTCGTTATACGCCTCCTTTCTAAGTGTATACAATTTATAATGCAATTTGATGGGGATTTGATTCAAGTAATTAGTTAATCATGACTGTTGAAGATTCTCTCTCTTTCTCTCTCTGTCTCTCTCTCTCTCTCTCTCTCTCTCTTTCTCCCTCTCCCTATCTATTTTCGAATTTATTCGCAAGATGAGTGCAAAATTGATAAGAAAACTGATTTCCGAAATATGATAAATCTTTTATCGTATTAAAAAAAAGGACAGACAATCTTGAAAAATTTCTCATATACAATTAAAAATCTAAACACTGAGCAATAATTCGTTTAAGAAAATGTGATTTCAATTGCAAACATTTTTTCTCTTACATGAGGAGAGAGACAAAGGAAAATTCATTTTAAAATTAATTTTAAAATTTTTAAACCTATAAATGAAGTACTCTTGTAACATATTATTCGTATGTATTTCTTAAAACTACATGTTTACTGTAGAGTAACCAGAAAACCCGGAGAAACTTTTTTTAAATCTTGCATAGGCATTAGATGACACGGCGATCAATTAAGTCGTTTTCGTTAATGTAAAGCTACAGAATACTCTGCCAATAAATTCTGCCAAAGTCCAGGTAAAATTTTCATTCACAATTGCTGCCCATGGACATATAGGACATAGGGACAAACCGAACTTTTGAAAGATTATTCATTAGCAAATAAGGTAACACGTAATCCTTGAATAGAAAATTTCGGTAAGTAGCACAAGTAAAGCACAAGTTTCGAGGAACAAATTATGAAAAACAAAATTGTACTAACACTGTAGACATTCACTTTTATAGAAGATATTCTTAATTTGTTTTCAATACTAAAACCAATGTTCTCGAAATTTTTGATCACATGTTTCGTTAAAAGTCGTTGCCATCAGCAGCAATTAAAACCCAAAATTTATTTAATAAACAGAACTTCTTCACACGCGAATAACCCAAGTCTAAACAAAAATTTTGTTTGTAGCTACGCCAAATGATCTTCGCGATTGCGTTAAGTTCAGTCTGGGTTACGTTGTCGTATAATCCTTTTGAATGTGTGAATGATCATGTTTTCTTTCCAACCTTTTTATATAGATTCAATAGAAGCAATTATGAAGAAATTAAATCAATAGATGTCTTGACCCGTTCCATATGTATGCCGTTTAATTGTTCACTTCCAGGCGACCGCAATTCACGCGTAAAGTATTCCTTTTTCATCTTAATTTCTACTATTGCATGCACACTACGTCATAGACATTGGGGATAAAAATGTTCTTTTACATGCCCATGCTGATAAATACTCAACTACGGTAGCCATAAGGAGAAAAGAGTATCAGTGTTATATATATATATATATATATATATATGTGTGTCGATTACTTTTCTTTTTTTCTTTTTGTTATGTTATAAACACCGGCAGCCGTGCTCCTTATGCAAATAAACATTTTAATACTGTGAAAAGGAAATTAAGTAAAGTGATCTCTATTCGCCGAGTGATAAGCTCAAGTATCTCTTATCTGTTACACATAAACATTGCGTTAGAATTCGTCAATTATTTGATAAAAATAAGATATTCTCGACGAGCTGGTTTTGTCTTATAAAAGATGGGATTGTCTTCATTTTGGATCCCCCTTATTGCATTTCGCTCCATCACTGTCATTTCATTCATTCGCTCACTCTTCGTGTTGTATGGGAATTCTCGAAGCACACATTGCTTAGTCTAATAAGGACAAAGCAATTTTCTTCGACTTAAATTATTTTTATAGTGATCGAGCTTTATAGCCCGCATGATCTGGTAATTTGATGAATCCTACGTAGCCAAAAAAGCGAGGAAAAGGACAATTGCTTCCTTGGAAAGCTTTGTCATTTATTTTCGTTTTTAAATCTTTCAATTTTCAAGTCATTTTTTATTGGATACTTTAGAATGAAAACAATTAAAAAAGCTATAGTGGGTCATGGCGTACCGTTAAACACGCTACACTAAATCAAAGTTATTCATACAACGATCTTTCAAAAGAAAAACCGTTATATGTGAAATGATCGAAAAGATGGTCCTATCCGAACCATTTTTAATAGCGTTCACCGTTGGGTAAAACATACCCGCGTAGACAGGCAAACAGACAAACACTGAAATTAACTCAGAAAGTGATTCTGAATAAATCGATATAAAAAAACTTGCGTCTATCTCAAGTCCTTCTGCGTGTTGCATACATCCGCACAAATAGCCACAAATGTTGTGGGATATAATCAAAGACAACTAAGTTCAGTGGCATAGGAAAAAGTATAATTTTCTTCGTAATGAGAGCAAAATTTTTACGCGCGCGGCAAGTTTGACTTTTTGGAAGATGCTTCTATAAAACATGTTTTCATCATCACTTTATGATATTAATCACTTCGCTTCACTTGCATCGCACTGCAGAGAAATCTCATTTCAGTAAAGTTATCATGCAATAGTAACCAATGTGTAGAGCACGGCTTTA